GAAAGAAATATATATATATATATATTAGTCTAAATAGATGTTGGTTATAAAAATGAATTATCTAGTTGGCTTTCTCCCAAATAATTGCTGATCCTAAATTTTGGAAGGGAAAATATCTAAATAATAGATTTCTAGTTTACAACTTTACAAAATTTTTTCAATATTTCAGGATTTCGGAAATAAACACTAATTTTACTATAACTCTTCATAGGTTTAAATACTATATAGAAAGTCAATCAGTAATGTATTTATATTTCCCAGTAGTACTTATACTTCACAGGGAAGTAAAATACTTGGAAATTTGGGCCCCCATGTCTCTGTCTAAAGATTAGTCAATAAGGAAAAAAAAAATTAGTCATTCATTTGCATTCACACAAATTCCACCCAACCCCACTCATCCAGAATAGTTCTCAACTTAGTAGTTAACCAGACTAAATAGAGTTGCATTCGTGCATTTTAATGTCAATGTAAAAATGGATTCCCAGATTTTTTTCTTTTTAATCAAATCTCCCAAAAGATGTCTAATTACTCCCAGACTAAAACATTTCACAATATTGTCACTTCTATAGTAAAACAAAAACTTGCTTTTAGTAAATCAGAAAGCCATACTTGAGCAACTTAGTATGGTGAGAGAAAGTTTATTTAAAGCCATACTTGAGCAACTTTATTCTGGTGAAAGAAAATTCTTGAACTCTATTCCTGATCTCATTTGTGAAGGGATGATTTTTGCCTGTGACATAGGTATATGGCATCGTTTAGCATATATAGTATTTGTTCTTTAGTTGGCAAACCACTCCCAGGGATTACAATGTAACAGAGGCAACCTCTGTGCAATAACTAGGGTAGTAATGTACTGCAGGACAGAGTTTGGCCATAGTGTGAGCCATGTGCATGCTAGACCATCAGTGGGCTCTTGTTGAAAGAACAACATAGCTTGATGAGTAATATGAGCATTATAAGCTCTGCTGGACAGTTTCATTGGGGTGGGACTCACTGCCTTCTGGGTGAGTGGGGATAATTTTGTAGAGGAAGTAATAGCTGAATAAAATCACAAAAGTGAGAGTGGGAGGAAGGCATTCCCATTTGGAAAGAAAATAGGAACAAATGTACAAGTAAATGGGATATTTTTGAAATGACAACAATTTTGCCAGGAGCAAAGATGCAATGACAGTTTGAGAAATAAAGCTGAAGGACAGAACCCTGGTTGTAAAAGATGCTGGAAGCCAGGCTGAGTTTGGACTTCGACTTCATGTAACATCTGGAGACCCACCTCCAACATCTTGGCGCGACACTCACTTTGTTTTACAACATACACAAATTCTTACATATTTACATCTAAGCACACTATAATAGCTTTTAGGAAAGACTGCATCTAACAGCCCCTTATACTCTCGTCCAAGACCTGCCTCCGATCCTGCTCCATCCCACTCCACAGTACAGCCCAGTGCCGTAGCTGTTGGTAGGATAGGAGCTTGCCTGAACAACACAGGCCTTCTTTGGAGCTGAAGTCCTATCGGATCCATGGAGTGTGGGTTCTCACCCCTCTGGCGCCAGCTTCTTTTCACTAGCATGTGTACAGCTCCCAGAACAGTCCCCTCCAAGAGAGAATCACTTTGTGTACCTCCTTCCCACGCTCACTGACTCCAGGTTGTGTGGGCCTGCTAGTGATGATCAGAATACAGCCCATGAACACGGCCATGCTGTTAATAACCTGGGGTTGGGCGCCGAGAACAGTAAGCGTTAAAGGAAAAACAAAACACAAAGCCCTCAATTTTATCCAGGCTTAATTTATTGTTAACTCACTTTCACCTGTCTTCATCTGCTCTCTCATGCCTACAGTCCACCCTGCATATATACCTGGTTCCAGTCCCTCCAAACCTTATCCAGTGGTCTCTAGAGCCTGTCATGGGGCCTTCTGTGGGGATTCACGCTAGGTGGCAGAGGCATAGTTTTACCTCCAGGCACCAGCCTGGTAGAAGTCATAGCACCTACGGGCTCGGAGGCGGCTCTCTTCCCTGGGAAGGGGGCCTCCAAGAATAGCTTGGGCTGCCTGTCCTGCACGCAGCAGCGTTGACTGTCGCCAACTGCCAAGCTTGAGCCTGAACTTCATTGCCCCACCTCACCAATGCAAATGAACACAGAGCCCAGAATCCAGACGGGAAGCAAGTCCCAGTGATTTGATTTGCATGGAAGAGCTTTTGTTGGTTGAGTGAAGCCAGCCAAATTCGCCGGGCTCTCCCAGCCCTCCGGAAACAAGCTTTACAGGGCCCTGGGCTCCACAGGGTGGGCGTGATTTGAATGTTCACTGCACAGCTGCTGCGTCCAGGGCCGGTCACTGCCATCGTTTCACTCCATTTTACTGCCTCAATCCCCCTGTGCACGTTAGTGGTTAATACAGCAGCCAGGAGACGCCAGACAGCTCTCGGCACCTGGTTCAAATTTAAGGCTCATTTACACATGATGTCACACACGCATTGTCAGCGCGAGGGAGGTCAGGATGGTTCATTTTGGGAAGGTTCGCATTGTTGAGTCTTTACAACACTCGCTGCTATTAATGCCTTAACCATCTGACTTGGATTTCGGTTTTCTGGCATGAGGTAATCCCAGGCACTAGATTTATATGCTGAATGGGAAGCCAGCAGTGGAGGCTAATCATGCTGGTTTGCAGATCTGCACCTCTGGAGCCTTGGGATGGAATTAGAGGGCCACATGGCATGTAGCAAATCACGGGGGTTTGGAGCAGGACGGGAATTAGCCAGACCTGGAAATGGGTTGCAGAGGGGGTGGTGCCAGAGGCCTGAGTCTTGATTGAAAAATAGAAACCAAAGCAAGTTGGACCAGGGTCTAAGCCCAGAAGCCACAGGAATTATTCTCATCAGGCCAGTGTTTTGGGTCATTACTTGACCCATCCTTTTGCACATCATCCATAGAAATTTCAAAGCCACCTCCCCAGGCCTAATTCGTGTTTCTCAAGTTCCGTGAAGCCTTCCTGACCACCCAGGCCACAGTGATTTCTCTCCTGCGTACTGTTGTCAATAAGACAGCTCAGTTACTGAGTGCTTCGTTTGTGCTACCAGCACTTTATCCTCACAGCACTTCACCCTCACAACAGTCTATGGGGAAGGCACTCTCATTTCCATCGTGCGGATAATGACATCGCTTCAGAAAGCTTAGTGTGTTCAGTGTCAGAGCCAGTAAGAGTTAGGATGGAAAGCTGACTCCAAAGCCTGTGTTCTGAACCGGGAGTTGGCTACTTGGTGCCACTTTGCCTGTGTACTGTGGCTCCGGGAAATGTGCGGTGCTGCTGTCTAATGCCTCACATGCACAGAGCTGGCTCACCTGCCTGGCTGTAAGGACCTGTGTCACCACTGCCTCTCTGGATGCCCTGACCTCCTAGTGCAGATGGATGGATGGATGGATGGATGGATGGATGGATGGATGGATGGATGGGTGAATGGGTGGATGGATACCCAGCCCCCAGCCCCCTCACCTATGCTGTTTTCCTCTCAAGATGAATTAAAATGTTGATATCTTTGGATAACCACTCCTATGGCTTTCTGTTGTCCTCTGGCACGTGGCTAAAACAATAAAATTGGTCTGCCTGTTACATCAACAGGAATCTCCTTACATTACAGGAAGTTCAGAGAATATCCTGGGACTGCCTTGATTTTGTTTCTGAATCTGGACCAAGGCCTATTGCCATGGTGGGCCCCCAAATGGGCTTCCTTACTTACTTCTATGAGTCCGTTTCAGTCATGCAAATGGGTATTAAATGGGAGCATCAGCCGAAGCCGATTTGGCTCAGTAGTAGAGCGTCGGTCTGCGGACTGAAAGGTCCCAGGTTCGATTCCAGGCAAGGGCATGTACCCTCGTTGCGGGCACATCCCCAGTAGGGGGTGTGCAAGAGGCAGCTGGTCGATGTTTCTCTCTCATCGATGTTTCTAGCTCTCTCTCTCCCTTCCTCTCTGTAAAAAATAATAAAATATATTTTTAAAAAATCTGATAGGAGCATCAGATACGGTGGGAGCGCACTGGAGGGACACTTGACCTGACCTGAGAGTCCAGGGCTGGTTCCCGAAGGGTGAGAGTCAGCCAGTGTGGAGTGTGGAGGGCGTCCCAGGCAGGGAGGGGGCGAGGACAAAGGCCGAGAGGATCACTCACATGCCCCAGTGAGTGCAGCTGGACATGGAGACTGGAAAGGCCTCTGCAGAGGGTGGAGACACGGGTCATACCCTCTCCTCTGCCATCTACACAGGCAGTGTGACACTTCTGACACTGATCCCGGGGAAGGCATCTCTGAATCCTGCTTTCCTAGGAAATGTCTCCTTGGAATGCTCCTGCCGACAGTTGTTTCCTCAGGGTCCTCTCTCCTTGGAGCTCCCGGGAATGATGGAAAACCCAAGCATGAGGATACCCTCTTAAGGAACCATTGCTTCAGAGCAGGATTCAGGGTGCAGCTTGCCACCACTGAGTATCTTGTACCTTCCCCTCGGTCCTGTCCTGCCCTCTCTCAGCCTTGGAGGCTGACCCCAGTGGACCATGTCAATGGGTTCCCTTGGCTCTGGCTTCCCATGAGTTCGACCAAAGAGGCACCAGTGGGCCCTCAGGGCTGGAAGGGAACGGATGTCAGGGTATCTGCTCCCCCCTACTGTCTCCCTGCCAGGCCCCCTGGGCACCCTCTGCCAAAGGCCCGCTGCCTGTAGCCATCCTCACTGGGTCTGGGTTCTGGTAATCTCCCCTTCCTATTGCCCTCCAGTCCTAGGGCAGTAACAGTCCTCCCCCACTGCCCTTTTGGGCTAAGTTGTATCTCCCCCAAATTTCATATGTTGAAGCCCTAACCCCCAACTCCTCAGAATGGAACTATATTTTGAGATAGGGCTTTTAGAGGGTGATTAAATTAAATGGACATTTGAGTGGGCCCTCATCTGCTTTGACTGGTATCCCTATGAAAGGAGGAGATTAGTGCACATGCATAGAGGACAGACCATAGGAGGACATAGGAGACAGCCATCTGCAAGCCCAGGAGAAAAGCCTCAGGAGAAACCACACCTGCCAACACCTTGCTCTTGAACTTCTAGCCTCCAGAACTGTGATAGAGTTAACTTCTGGTGTTTCAGCCACCCCGTCTGTGGTATTGGGCTATGGTGGCTCTAGCTAACAAATACACAGTGCTACACTATGCCCTGGCAATTTCCTGAAACCCTGCATAAGTAAGTCCCTTGACTAACTTATTTTCCATTGTATAAGTAAGTCCCTTGACTAACCTTTCCTTTTGGGCATGACATCTGTGTCTTGCAGGGACCAAGACTGATATACAACCCTGGACTTCAACAGGAGTGCTTAGTGACAAAGGCAAGGACATACGTCACTGAAAGCAGCCCCCTTCAAGGTGCCCTCCGCCCCTGCGGCCCCTGCTGGGTGCTCTGGCGCTGTCCCGAGGTGTTTGCTTTCCTTAGGAGCCCAGTGCCTGGGTTAGTCATTCCCTGTGAGTTTCCGTTTTCCTGTGTTAAAGCATGGAAAGCAAAATCTACCTCTTTGGGGGGTATTTTGAGGTGCATATTGGATACAAATGTGAATGAACTGAGAGAACCCTGCAAAGAAAGAAAGAGCTCTCGTAGAGCATATCCAGAAGCAATGTCATTGATAAGTACACACAAAGCATACTTTGAAGGCAAGAGAATGGAGATTTTTGCTAGATCTTTACTGCCCTGAGTGCAGTCCAGCGGAGAGGCTCTGGCCTTTGCTCAGACGCTCCCTATTAGCTCTTCCTTAAAAAGAAACCAGTTTTCTTTCACACAGACACAGGCCCCATACGCACAGCAGGTGAATGTGCCCATCTCTTTGCCCCGTCCCCTTTAACCAGCTGGAGGCCAGAGCAGCTCAGACCCCAAAACGGTGTGGTGTGTGGAGAGAAACAGGCTGTGTTCTGGGTCCCGTCTTCTATTGCCAATAAACGAGGCTTCTCAGCCATGTCACCTGCACCTGCAACGCTGACACAACTGTTACCGCCCCCCCCCTTCCCATGCTGCGAAGAGGGGCATCCTGACCGCACAGGGATGGAGCTAGGATGGGGCAGGCCCAGCCTCCCGGGTTGCCATTGTGAGGGAGACAGGAGCTGGAGCTGGAGCTGGTGCCTGGAAAGGGATGGGGCTTGGTGGCTTCCTGAATCCTGTTCTCTCTGGACGCTTCCCTTCTGTCCCTTCTCTGGGCCTCTAGCTCCCTCCAGGAAGCTGCTCCCTGGAAAAGGCTGCCTCTGTGGGATGGGAGCACCTCTTGGGGGTGAGTGTCCCGCTATTTCCAAGTGTCATCAGCTGTGGCTGTGACTCAGGCATTCCTGTGGGCGTGAAAGCATACTGAGGAGCAAAATGGCCTTGTGGGTCAGCCAGGTGATGAGAGAGTAAAAAGGTCAAGGTGCAGAGATTCAACTTCACTCTCATTAAAAAATACAAACTCCAGACAAAGGGTATGTTTACTCCTTTTTTTTGGCTCTATCAGAAAGCTGACGTCACAGGGCAGTCAACTAGCCTGAAATCTGAGGATGCGGGGTTGCGGGGGTAGAGGCGGGAAGGGGGGCGGTGGAGGCATGGACAGGAGCCCTCCTTCACTGGGCTCAGATGCAGCCAATGGGACTCACCTGGGACGGGGAGGATTAGTGGAGAACGAATGTGGGCTGGGGTGAGAGTGCGGAGTCTCAGGGTCCCAACTACATGGAGGGCGTTTGCATCTTCCCACAGGCTTTCTCCACAGAAAGCACCGGCGGGCGCTTGACTGCAGCAGAGACGGCCTGGAGTCCGGAGCAAGGACCCCTGCTCAGCCCCGGGAGTGCAGAGAAAGGTAAAGTGCAAGACATTTTTACAATTTTTATTGTTCTAGAAGATAAACGAGTCTCGGGTAAAAGCACAGCAGCGATGCATCATATGTGCATGAAATGTATGTGTCACACGCATGGCATTGTACAGATGTTGGGAGAGAGCAATGGGCAATATAGAGTGGTAAGGCTCCTAGATGGGTTAAAAAGTGAAATTCAGCTGAGTCCATTTTAAAGATCTTACTGGCTTTGTTCAGCAGCTCATGAGGTGTGCAGCGCCCCTTCTAGGAGAAACTAAGTTGGGGCTTGTTTTGGTGGTGTGGACCTTAGCCTAAGTGGCTCCATGTTGGGGTGTATAAGTGGCTCCATGTTGGGGCGTTGTCCTGTTGTCGTCCGGCCTGCACTAGGGAGGGAAGGTGCCTTGCTGGCCTGTCCTTCGTCCAGTGCTTCCTCAGGCCCTGGGTGGAGGCCCATGGATAAGAGCCGGCAAGTGGGTGTGAATTCCTCTTGTATTTGCACATGTGGGGAGGGGTGATACAGTGTCATGCTCGTTGGCTTTTGGCCTTTAGCATTTAAAAATGTCGGATGAATGCTCTTTATTCTTTCTTGCAATGGCACCCCATGTTTCTTCTTCCTATAATAACACAGGTAAGTCCTTGCTTATTCCCCTTTCTCCTTGGAGCCTCATTATTTCCTGAGATTTCAAGCTTTTTGATCCTACATGACCTTGACTTTTGGATGTATTTAAGCAAATGCATGGTTTTGTACTTCACCTGACTTCTCTCCGTTGTTGTTCTGATGGGAGAGGCACTATTTTCAGTTTTCTGCATATGAGGCAGGAGTGGAAGTCATGTTTTAATATCAAATCAAGCATGTATATCCTCCTTATTATTCATTTCAGAGTTTTTCTTGGCTAGTCTTGTGTATTTATTCTCTTAAATACACTTTAGAATCATTTTTTTTTTTTTGTCAAGCTCTTCATCTCCCAATCTCTCAGAAAACATATCTCCTGATTAAAATGGTATTAAAATCTGTAGACGAATTTGGGTCTCAGATAGTTTCAAACCTCCCATCCCCAAGATCGGACACAGCAGCAGAGCAGGTGTTGTGATAGGAAGAATCCTCAAAGGTCAGCCTGCCTTGAAGTCTTCACTATTTGCCCTGTAAGTCTGCCTTAGAGGAGGGAGAAAGCTTTCCAGAACCTTGGGGGAACTGGGTGCAGTTCCTCCGAAGGACCAGTGTAATAATACTTCCCAACTATCACTCCAATGAAAATGCATGCTGGACACAGTCTTACGTAGTCGAACGAGTGACCGTGTGAATGTGTGGGTAAATAAGCACGAGGAATTCCGTTAAGAATATGGAAGCCAGAGCCCAGCCAGTGTGGCTCAGGGGTTAAGCTTCCATCTATGAACCAGGAGGGCATGGTTCGATTCCCAGTCCAGGCACATGCGCGGGTTGCGGGCTCCATCCCTAGTAGGGGCAGCGCAGGAGGCAGCTGATCAGTGATTCTCTCTCATCCTTGATATTTCTTTCTCCGTCTCTCCCTCTCTCCTCCGCTCTGAAATAAATCAAAATAAAATAATTATAAAAAGAACCTGGAAGCCGAGGGGAAATCACCGGATCTGAACTGAGAGCACCTGAGTAGCGGAGCATGGAGACGCTGAGCCACCTGGTGGAGAGGGGCGGTGGGAGCGAAAGCCCACACCACCTCTGTGGTCATCCCGCTGGAATCTGGCCCCCGGAGGAAAGCTGGAGCCGAACAGACCAGCCTCTTCAGAGCCACTGGGTGTGGATGGGGCAGGCCCGGCGAGGGGCTGTGCTGGCGGAAAGAGTTCTCCTAGAGAACCTATTAGATCCATTTGTGTGTATCCTATGGCTCTTGCAACTATGAATCTCTTGGAATCAAATGAAATAAAACAAAACAGAACACACCCATCAGTAGTTTCTGAAAGAATTTTCCAGTAGGGGATACAGAGAGAGAACAAAATTCTGAGAAAAAAAAAAAAAAGAGTAACAAAACGTCTTGATGTCTTCCGCAGCCTGCTTCAGAAAGAGCGGAGTTGTGCAACTCCATAAAAGACGGGGATCCTGGGTTGACCCAGGACATTGCTCAGACGCAGAGCCGGAGGCATGCAGGAGGCGCAGACGCCCACAATTTTGATTTTTAAGATGCAACAAATTATTATTTTTGGGGGGTAACTTAATATTTAATTTTCAACCAACTCCGGCACCTCATTAAGGAGGGGCCTGCTCTTTGCCAAACTCTTCCAAGAGAACTTGCTGGGGTTGAGTGTGGGTGTCAGCAAACATTTCCCAGTGTGCTCTAATGGGGAAATATTTATTCTGTAACACTCCTCCCTGACCAAATATATAATTATATGACGTTTTATATGACCAAGAGGATTTGGACTAAGGTTTCATATCCATAATGCACCCTAATGTTGGGAAACACAGTTTTCCAAGTGCCTTTTCCTGGGCGAGGCCACGCGCTGCGGCCTGGAAAAAGGGGTTCCTGGGAAGGTCTTGTTAGCCTGAGAGCGGTCTGGGATCTGAATCCTGGAAGGTTGCTGACGGAGGCGAATGTGTGTGTGTGAAATGATTAATAGCGACTGCTAGTTCATTTCATAATGGCCCATAAACGTACGCACATTCCATTTATGGAGTTGCTATGCCTTTACTAAAACTTTTTTTTTTTTTAAACAAGAAAGACTTTCCACAAAGTCATTTTCTGCTTTTGGAAGGATAACATTTAGAGCAAGGTATAAAGGACCTTTGCCAGGATAATTACCATTTAGAGCAAAGGTCTCCAAGATTTTCCTCGGAGCAGAAGAGGCCGGCACTGCCCCTGATCTGTTGACACGCACCACGCTCGTCCGGCCGTCATAGGGAAGTGGCTGCCCTGCTGGGCAACGCAGCAACACTCATACCAATCACATGTGCTGCAGGGTGCTCTGTGATTATCTGCTGCGTGGAGTCTGGGTCAGGAGAAGCCAGGAGAGTGGCCGCTTCATGCCGAACCAAACCCCACGAAGGGCTCCCAACCCTTTTGCATCGTCCCCCGTTATGTGTTCGAACATGTCCCCGTGGGCGTCTCGATGGCAGGGGTGCAGGACTCAGTGTCCCGAGTCAAAGGCGAGTTTATGAGCAGAGGGAGCGTTGATTGCCGTGGCTGTTGCATCAGGAACACATGGTAATTTAGTGATTTGGATTCACTAGGATGAGGGGTAGAGAAGTCTCATGGCCAAAGGCAGAACTTGGACGGATGTT